AAAAAAAAAAGAGTAGTACAAAATAAAAAGAAGTATAAAATTGGAAGCAATTTTATTTAAATATTATACCATGGTTTGGACCAAATTGTACAGCGCAAATTTGGATTGACTGATTTTTTCAGAATTTTTTTTATTATAACAAAATTGCATTTTTAAGGGAGTACAGCGAAAACTTAAAAAAAAAAATGAAAGAAATAGAAATGAAACAAATCAAAACTTTTTTTCTTGAACAGTCAAAGTTTTGCACTTTTGAAGCTTATAATACAGTTTGTGGCCATAGATCACAATCAAAAGAAGCAAACAGAGAAGACAAAGTTCAAAGTTCTAACTATTTAAAAAAGTTGATGCTGATCGAATTTAGTGGAAACAATCTGAGCAAAGTGGAATGGCTATTTCCATTAATGATGCTCAGGAGATTCGTGCAGTACTGAATCTTAATTGAAGCACTGATAAGAAAAAAAAAGTTCTAAAACACATTTGATTCAACTATTTATTTATGTTAGTTCTGTAGCTTAACTTTTACTGCTATTTTTAATTTAAAGCAACGTTTGAATCTTGCAACTATTCTTAACAGATAAAAAAAAAAAGAAAAGAATGAAAGCGAGAAAAAAAAAAGAGCATTTTTTTTATCTTACAAACAATGTTCTATTTGAAGTTTTTTAAAGTTGATGATTGTTGAACAACAGAACAGTTTAGCAAAAGGCTTCTCATTTCCTGTGCAAACTTACTCATTGAAGTTCTTAAGACCGGTAAGTATCTCATGTTATAAGTTTTTTTTTTTTTTTGTGCTGTAGCTGATTGCACGCAATCAGATGCCATAAAAGTTTTCCAATTTTCCTCTCCACTATCTTTCAGCTTTTTTTTTTTTTTTTTCACCAACTTCTTGAGCCAAAAAAAAAAAAAAAAACTTTAAAAGAGTTTTTAGCAACTTCGTAATCAAAAAAAAAAAAAAATTTTTTTTTTCTTACTTTCTTTTTATTTTAATTGAAATATCCTTTCATTAAATGGGCAACAAAAATGAAAAAAAAAAAAGAATTTTTTTTTTTTTTGTTTTTTATGCTAATAATGTCATCTTCAATGAAGGAGGAAATTGTAAAAAGTGTGATTGAGAGATATTTTTACGGCAAGATAAAGTTCTTTTTTATCATTTATTCTACTTGGAAAAAAAAAAAGGAAACAAAATATACTGCTTGAAAAAGAAAAGAAACTTGCCATCCATCTATTCAACTATTGTCAATGAGTTAATTTTGCAGTAATGCTGATGACGCGTTATATCTGTTGGCTTTGGATAAATAGAAAAATGAAAATTTTTGGAGATTACAGTTTTTAGAGTTATTGAAAATCAGATTGGAAGAAGGAAAGAGTTGGTTGAATATAAATCAACTAAACCTCAAAAAG